ATGAAGGTGGAGGAAGGGTAGGGGTCATTGCTCCAGCGGCGCATCACCAGTGGAGAACGTCCAGATTCTGACTTCGTTGTTCTCTACTCTAGAGGTTTGGAGCCATGCCGTTGAACAGCAAGTATTCAATCACCCGACTTTGCACCTCAGCTTGGTTGTTGTTGCATTCATGAACGAAGGACGTAAGTCGGGTGCTGCCCCACAGCGAAGATAAGGCATCGCCCCAAGCGGCTCAGAGATATGGCCGTGGCGACATATTTCGGGGATTCAGGGAAGGTCTCAGCCCTATCTTGTCTTATCTATCTGTGGTTGAGTCTGATGTAGACTTAGTTTTATTATTTGTTTCCTGCCGAGAAAATTGGGGGGTGTTTTTTGGGGGTTTTGCTTTTGGTTTCCCTTACACCCAAGGGAAGGATTGCGACGGGCAAGTTGCGGAAGGTGCCGATGGCGTGATCGATTTGAGCAAAGCTTTGGGTTCCCGGTGGGGTCCTTGCCCTATTTGGTGATTCGGTACCCCTCTTTCTTGGGTTGGAGGGCAACCCCATGGACATGGGTTCCACCCCCCTTTGATAAGGGGGGGGGGATATTTTGACATATTATATGTAGGGGTTTATTTGACATATTCTGACATATCTTGACAAAAAGGGGGATATTCTATATTATAGATTCATGAAGAGCCGAATTTACCAGTTTGGTTTCTTGTGTGTATTCCCCAAACTTCTTTTTCGGCAATTCTTTCAGCCAAATGGGTCCATAGAGCTTGCGCCAAAGGCTTGGCGATGCCCTATGTCTTGGAGCAAAGTTGCCAGACTGCAAACAGGGACGTGGATGGCAATCTCGAAAAAGAGAAACTGGCGGCTTATGTAGAGGTGAAGGAATTTAGCAGGCAAAGATTTGCTGTATGTGTTCTTCCATTTGCTTTATACTATTATATATTTTCCCTTTTGGTTTTCAAGATCACTACCGGAGATATGTTTTCCCTCTTCCAGGCGGCTTAAGCAAATGGACTCTTGTGGCAATTGTCCAGTGTGGTTCTGATTGAGATCTGCGCCCAGAGCGAACGGTGCGACGAACCTTTGGCTGGAAGCCCTCTCCTGCATCCGCGGGGTGTGTGCCTAAGGATGTACTTTGATCCCTTGCTAGCAAACGATCCCTTGACATACTTTGAGCTTCTTGGCTCTGCACCATTCATCTCTTGACCTATCAATTGGTTTCACAGCGGAAGACATGCTTTCCCAACAATGCACTGAGGCCCAGAAGACAACTATCACTCCAAAGCATCGCTTCATTTCTTGCGATGGGGCCTGGGATTGAGGGCTGAGCTGGTAAATGGAACCAAAGACTAAGACCCGCGGTTGGCCCCAGCTCTTCAATTTTGAGCCATACCCAACCAGAGCAACTAGATCTACCGCACCAGCAAGACAAAACAGGCAAAGAAGCAAGCCTCACCTGACCCCTTGGTGGTTTGGTTTGGTTTGGACCTTAGTGCCTTTCTTCCCAAACAAGGTACTGGGGTTCAACTCCCCAAACCGCCGTCGTTTCAAGCCGAAACCGGTGCCAGGAGCCAGACCTCTCCATGGAGCTCATGAGCCAGCTCCAGCGCCAGCTGTCGGCTGGGGCGCTCAGAAAGCAGTCGGCTGGGGCTCAAGCCTTGTCTTTGGTGCATTTTGCTTGGATGTTAGGACTTTGACTGTTTGCACCTAAACGTTGTCACTTTTAGCAGGGGAGCAGATTTTGCAACCGAGTTGTGTAGCCATGAAGGCATGACACACTGCAGCGACCATGAAGGAGCAGAAAAGAGTTTTGGTACAGACGTAGCTGAACCACCACCATGGCCACCACAACACCCACAACGCGAAGGACAGCAACAGCAACAGCAACAACCACCACCAACACCGAATCCAAAACCAACACCCCCATCCGCACAAACACCAACACCAACAAGAACAAGAGCAAGACCAAGAACAAGAACAACAACAGCAGCAACAGCAAGAACGGCGATGGCCAGTACAGATGTGTATACATGGAGAGCGGCGGCTCAATGTTTTTTTGTGGCTTTGTTTTCTCGCGTCTTTCGCGTGTTTTTTGACATTGCTTTCCTACAAGTTACACTTTCTTGTATTTCTAGCGATAGCAAAGAGTGAAAGCGAGAAGATGCAATGGATAGAGGAGAAGCAATGTACTATTCTGAAACAAGTTGTGCTTTCTTGTATTTGTAGTGAGATGCAATGGACGCAGAACTGCAATGCACTGTTTTGACACCTATAGAGTAACAACTAGCTTGCCAATTGCAATACATCAGCTGTCACTGCTTTGTGCACGCATAGGCCTTGCTTGTGCAGGAGTATTGTCAAGTGCGTGGCCTTTTTGCGATCAATGCATTCGTTGTGGAGCTTGTTTCGGTCGGACTTCACTTCATCTTCTTGAAGCAGACTTTAGTCAGCACTTTCCTTCCAAGCAGGGTTCTAATTAGAAGTTAATTGGAACCTTGATTTTAGTTGTTACTTTAGATGTGTACTGGGATCTTATCCAAATGTGCTTTCTGTGAGAACTTAGTTATGTATTTGTTTTATTACTTTATAGTATATTGTAAATAGGATTCCTTCCAAATCTAAATGGGGATTTCTTGCCAAATGTGAATTTTACTTGACATGGGCATAACTAGAATTTAGCAAGGAAAGACAATCTGGCAGTTTCTTCTAACTGATTCAATTCTAGCCTTTTTGTTTTGAGAATTTAGATTGGATTTCCTTTCCAAGTATCTTTCCAAGTATATAGGGTTTTAGTTAGAGTTTAGCTATAATCTAGATAATATGGGAAGGAAAGACAGGTGGCTGTTTCTTCTCTTTCATTTGAATAGAATTCGGTTGGGGTTAGAAAGCCTCAAGAAAAACCAAAAAAACAAAAACAAAGAAACATACCCCAACAGATACAGGAGTCCATGGATCTTGTTGTTTCCTTATTTTAGTTTTGTTTGTTTTTGTTTGGTTTCTCGAGATTTCTCACTATTTCATGAAAATACAGCAAACCTCGAGAAAACCCATAAAAAACCCAACAGATACAGGAGTCCATGGATAGTGTTTTGCTTGTTTTGGTACCTATGCAAATACAAGTACCTACATGTACATCTCTATATGTACATGTCACATTTATGCTCATCCATGATTGCGTATGTATATCAGGCGCACGTGCGCGCATGCACGTGCACGCATGTGGATGCCCAAGCACCCACCCACCCTCCCCACCCTCCCCACCCTCCCACCCTCCCACCCTCCCACCCTACCCTACCCTACCCTACCCTACCCTACCCTACCCTACCCTACCCTACCCTACCCTACCCTACCCTACCCTACCCTACCCTACCCTACCCTACCCTACCCTACCCTACCCACCCACCCACTCACCCACCCAAACACAACAAACAACAGGCCTGCACACACTCATCCACACAAACACACACACACCCACCCACCCACCCATCCACCTACCCACCCACCCACCCACCCACCCACCCACCCGCCCGCCCGCCCGCCCGCCCGCGCCCGCCCGCGCGCGCGGCGCGCACGCACGCACGCACACGCACGCACGCACGCACGCACGCACGCACGCACGCACGCACGCACGCACGCACGCTCGCACGCACGCACGCACGCACGCTCGCACGCACGCACGCACGCACGCACGCACGCACGCACGCACGCACGCACGCACGCACGCACGCACGCACGCACGCACGCACGCACGCACGCACGCACGCACGCACGCACGCACGCACGCACGCACGCACGCACGCACGCACGCACGCCCGCCCGCCCGCCCGCCCGCCCGCCCGCCCGCCCGCCCGCCGCCCGCCCGCCCGCCGCCCGCCCGCCGCCCGCCCGCTCCGCCCGCCCGCCCGCCCGCCCGCCCGCCGCCCGCCCGCCCGCCCGCCGCCGCCCGCCCCGCCCCCCGCCTCCGCCCGCCCGCCCGCCGCCCCCGCCAGCCGCCCGCCCGCCCGCTCCCCGCCCGCGCCGCCGCCCGCGCCGCCCCGCCCGCACGCACGCACGCACGCACGCACGCACGCACGCACGCACGCACGCACGCACGCACGCACGCAAAGGCACGCAATCAAAAATCCACGTGGCCCTGAAGCGCAGCCTTCAGGAAAAACAAAAAATCAAAAACAACAAACAAGAAACAATACATACACTCAGTGATTTGCGAGTTTTTTGCCCAGGCCCTGGAAGCCGGAAGCTTCAAGGAGGCCTGGGGCTTGCGATGGCGGGCCTCGCCTCGCCAATTAGTTGTCACCCCACGCTTCTTCGACACGGAGGGAGTTTGCCCAACCAAGCGCGAGCTTGCCGATTTCTCTCGATTTGGCCCATGCCAACGTGGAGGAAAGGCTTTTGCCACGTTGAGAGGGGCCCTAAAAGGGTGGCCCTCTGGGTGCACCGGATGAAAAGGCCCCGGAAAGAAGGAGTGGATCCACTGTGTGCTGAAGGTGGCACCTTGCGGTGGCACCCTTGCGGTAAGAACCAGTTTCGGACAGCTGAGAAGAATCTTGGGGAGCCCGGAAGCAAGCTGCCTGGCAGGGGCAATCCGCAGAAGGTGTGGGGAGAGCTGGAGACTTAGAGGTTCCATTGCCCCAGACCTTCCTGCTTGTCTACTCACTGGTATGTCGCGCGGCATCATCCTAGATGTGGAAAGCCAACATCAGGGACCTTTCATGGCTGGTTTCATGTCATCCCTTTTACACCACTGGAAAGCGCGTCCCCCGAACCCTGGGGAGGCATCTCAGATTTCCACACACTCGCACACACTCACAGCGCGTCATATCAATGTTGCGAGATGATTGAACAGATAATTACTAGCACATGAGTTCTTCCAAGCACCTTCTCTGCGGTGGATCTTGAAGCTCACACCTCGAAGCAAATAGAAACAACATCAGAAGGACCCAACCTTGAGTTGTTGGCCCATTGCCACATATTTTCTTGCCAAGTATTCCTTTCGCTTCAATTGGCTTTCCTCAAACCTCCGATGAGTTACCCGGCACAAGGAGTCTCGACCATCATTCGTGCTCCATGGAACTTGCTCACGTGAGGGTTGATCAACGTTTCGGTGGTTTTCCAACCAATGGTCATCTTGACCAACCCCCACATGACATTGTCCCAGGGTCCAAGCAGAATGAGGCGGCCATGAATTTATTTGGGCAACCTCACAAGGGGTTGGTGCCACCTAAATCATGTCCACCAAAAAGGCCCTAATTCAATCTCACGCCCACGTGTGGCAACACCCAAAGCCGAGGCTCAGGCGAAATTCGCGGACGGCGCGGCATCAGAGATCGCCTGGTAGCCGAGCTTGAGGAACTGAGCCACGTGCTCAAAAACCCGTTGATAGATGAGGTTTAGTAAGGGACAATCCCCTTGCCATTCATAGGTGCGGATATGGTGCACCATTTTAAGACCGCTCGGTTTTGACAATGACTCGACTGGCCTAGAAGCGCGGCTGGCACTGTTCGAGGGGAAGGTGCCTTATGGCCATGCCCGGGACAATGCCAGGCACCTCTGCGAGATGTTTCGGACTTTGGACATAGGTCCTCCGTGCCAAGACCATAGCGATAGCGTGGCACTTCAACATAGTTGCCATAGTTTGCAGCTTCCTGTGAGAAGCGGTGAGTTAAATCTACCGCTGAACGTTCAGCACGTCCTCTGGGGATATTGTGAGTGGAAATGCGGCTGACAGGCATCCAATGCAGGCCCCATGGATCAAAGGAACCAGCACTAGGGCAGCATCTGCTGACCTGAAGTACTAGGCAATGTCTTTAGCTCGTTGGGCAACGGTGACAGGTCTGCCTTTCGGGGTTGAGCATGCCACGAAAGCCGCCGGAAGATGCTTTTCATGGTTTACGGAGAAACCAGGCATGTGGGGGTTGACATGGGATGACCATCAGGGAACTCACCAAAGAAGATGACTATCCCCACTAAACAAGAGTTACCCATGGTCATTTGGCGGCCAGGAATATTGATCAACTCCCATGTGGCAATGCATTTCAATACCTGTATGAACTGCTTCTTTCCGCCGCCAACTCTGAGAGTGGATGGGTCATTGAACGTTGCAAAATGTTGTCTGTCCAGGAACTCCATTGTCGAACAAAGGATTTATCACCAAAACGCACTCAGCCTTATTTTACCCACCTGAGTCGGGCGAAGCATCAGAGTGCTCCGAGGTTTCCTTGCTGCGAAGTTTCAACCCGGAGTTGGCGGAGGAGTGTGAGAGACTCACGTGAAAGGAAAGATGAAAGTCTAGCATCTCTGCACGCGAGTGTCATTCATTTGCGTGCGTGTTCCTTCAGCGTGCCATGTGTTTGTGTTGGTTCAACGGGAAACCGAAAGGATTGCCACCCTGTGGTTCCCCTATTGAGACATAGCCATCTGATCAATCCGCTTATGTTCAATCGGAGGAATGGGTTTTGATCCAGCTGGATCAAAGCATTGAGCTCTTGGAAGTGCTCTCTCGGGGCTCTCTCGGTTGCCATGAAGTGTACAACAAGCGTTGGATTTGTTACGGAGTAGAACGAATAATGAACAAAAAGCTGGAGTTCATATGGCCAGATTCAGAACTCTTGTAACCTGAAGAAGCAGTTGGAGCAGATCAACCTGGGAGCGGTTTGAGTCCTTGCCAGGTTCTAGGGAGAGAACTGCATCCTTCTAATGGAAAGCGTCAGTTCCTGCGTGGCAGTCAGCATCTCGATGTACCAATGGGCACTTTGATTTGGAGGTATTGCGCCTAATGTGCGGTGCTTTGCCGTCTTTAGTATAGGGGCCTTTTTCGTGTTGCCCTGGTGATGCAACACCCCTCCTTGCACGCGCCTTTGAAGACGACAGAGGGCTGGATTGAGGTGACTCTGAAAGTGGCTCTGCGTTGGGTTAAACGCGTCTCTAGCACACACACACAGAAAGCACAAGCCATTTTCTACCCTCGACACTGACCTTGGTGCCCTTGATGAAGGGCCTGTTCCAACCCGGGACACGCAACCCAGAGTGATACCATGATCCCAAGTGAGCGCACTGACATCGCTGGGGTACTCACATGCAGGAGGAGCTGTCCAGGGATGTGACTCCTGCATGCTTTGATCGGCAGAAGCTTTCCCGTCCGCAGATTGGTGCTTTGACTAGCCTCTCTTGCAGGGAACAAGGCAGTTCAGACTTTTAGGCGTGGTTTGACCAGCTCAGACCGCACGTAGGCATATGACTGTCACGGTGGGCAGTTGGGAGGGTCGAGGTCCGAGGGCTTTCCGGACAGTCCTGTTCAAGTCTCGCGCGCAGGACGTGTTTTGTTTCTGGCTGATGATCATTTCGACTCCAAAATTGACAGCTTCATCCTGGCGAGAGAGTTCGAATTTTGAAACAGACGTGTGGGAGTAGGACAGCGGAAGCCTGGTCCTGAATTGATTGCAGCCTCTAGAAGTGTGTTTCACTTGCAGGACAAGCCATATTTTTGTCAGAGGGTTTGAACAGCATGGCAGAGATGTCACAGGGCCTGGGCCTTGGGCCGCTAGCAGGGCAGGTTTCGCCCTCCCCTCTAAGAGCAGCCCTTTGTGTCCTGGGAAAAAGATTTGGCCTCCGGCCTTCAAAAGAGAGGGCCATGCGCCCAAATCCGGGCCATTCGGGGGACATTTCCAGTGCCCGAGCGACGGACGGACGGACGGACGGACGGACGGGCCGGTGCCAGGTGCACAGCATCATCCACACGAACTCGGTGGCCTGGAACTTGGTGCTTGGTGGGAGGCAAAGCTGGCAGGTGGAAAAATGGCGAGGACACGAAGGCATGGCCAGAGCGGGCCTTTGAATCCTGCTAGAGAAACGACGGAGATCTTTTTGGGAGGAGAAGCAGCTGGAAAAACCCCTGGTGTGCGCAGCAGGTGGCACTGGCAGAACAAATTTGAGGGGTGGTGAGTTGGATTCGGGGATTGATGGCTTCTGCCGTTTTTGCCGTGGACGCAAGCCTCCGGGCGCTGGACAAAGCTTGGCAGTTTCGGATGTCCAGCACTTTCGTTGTAACGACTCATTGAATCCGAGCAGCCTGTTCTTTTGACGGCGGGGAACATGGGTTACTTCCTGAGAAAGGCTCGACTCGTGTTTTCTTGCTTTCCTTCGGAGCCTTCGCCTGGCACCTGGGCTCGTCTTTTGAAAAAAAGCCTCCCAAGGCTTGGTTTTAAGGGAAGCCAAAAAGGAACCACAGATATTGTGCCGATTCCTACTGTTGAGACATACCCACCTTTTTGCCGCCGGTGAGGAGAGCAAACTTTGAGGGAGAGGAGGGGTGGTTGCGGCCCACTTCCACCCGAGGTCGGGCATTTGCAACCGTCCAACCTGCAGGCAGGGCGTCAAGGAGGACCTCAAACTTGTGCCACCAGGGTGGCTTGTGTGCTTTTGCTACTTTTCATGGGCTCTCTTTGCATCTTTGCAGCTTGGAGACACAGCAGACCTTGGGAATTGACGGTTTTACCACCTGTGTCTCAAATTGCGACCACGAAAACTGGCTGTGGCGTCCTTTGGTTTCCCGAGGCACTACGGGAGTATGTGCCGCGGGGGATCTCGGCAGCCTGTCACACTGTCGCCGTGGCCGGCGGTTTGGGTCGCCAGGGGTGGCTCGTTTGGTTGCTTTGGTAGAAAGATGGCAATTTCTCGGTTGACCTGGTTGTTTCATAAACTGCTAGGGGGCATATATATATATATACATATGTATATATATATATATACACATGTATCATCCATTTTCCCAAGGACACCTATGTTGAGAAGCCTCTTGAGCCCTTCACTCAGCAGGTTACGCATGTTTGAAAATTACTCCTCTTGAAGCTTGTCACAACCGAAGATGAAAATGCAGCTTGCACCTTTTCTGACGGACCTTGGGATCAGCATAATCCAATCCAGTCTGCGATCCGCGGAAAGTTTTCCCGATCCGAGGGGATCGTTCTCTGGGTTTCGGACATTTTCTTTCGGGCTCAGGGCTTTGACGTCAGTGCTCTAGCTTGTAGGATGCAGGGTTTACGGTTTGAGGTGTACGGTTTCAGGTTCTTTTGGCAAATGTCGTGCCGCTTGGAGCCTTTGCATCTCCCAAACCACGAGCCGGCTTTGCATTTCATTCCAATTCCAAGTCTCGGAGCGAGCTTGGATTCTCCTCGCCGCCCGATAGATCGCCTGAGGGTGGGGCTTCTGGGGCTCGCCGAAAGTTTGAACCCCTCACTTTTCGTGAAAAACAATTCCGCAGAGCAAAAAACACCCAGGGTTTCTGCCGGGTATCGAGAAGGGTCTTTGTCTCAGAATGAAAAAGACCGAAAGAGAATGGATGAGAATGGTCTTTATGTTCCAAATAGAAAGGACAATGAGTTTTTAACACGTGTAAATTTGAATCAGTGTTTCGGTCTCGGTCTTTTTCGCGGGGAGGTGTCCCCCAGATCAAAATACACTTGTTCTCCTTTTTTATTCTTTTTTTTCTTTCCTACTTTTTTCCTGAACTAACACAAAAAGAAATATACAGAAAAACATGGGGTTCTCATATGCAAAGACCCGAAGGCTGGACCGCCGTGCGTGGCTGGGCCCCGACATCCAGCGGCGCGGGACCTGGAGACGCAGGTATCGAGTCACCCGAACGGGTCTCGCCCCCCCCCAAAATGAATAAATACATAGATATATCAATAAAGCAAACATGAATACACAAATAAATAAATACATCATGATACTAAACAAATACAACTAACATAGAACTACAGAACCTCAATCAAGAAGCACAATCGGACGTTTTCTTCTCTGGTTTCCCAGCAACCCAATACACCCCTGCCCCCTTCCAGGCACTTGGCGAGGCAGCGGAGGCGCCGGCCCTTCCGTGAGGCTGGAAGGATGGAGCATTTCAAGGGACACCCCCAAAAAACACAAAACACAAATCAGAGCAAACAAAAAAAAAAAAACGGAGGCTGGACACCCAAACGAACAACCCAGCGGCAGGTGTGAACCAACAGGCTACTGAGGGGAAATCGCGGATCTCAGAGCTCGGCCTTCGGATCTCAGCCCGGGCCGTCGATTTTTGCCGCTTTCCTCTTCCAAAAAGGGCCGCCTACGTGACTTCGGTTGGCCCCCCCCCCCTTCCTGCGGATGAAAGGAGAAGCGATGGACATCCGAAAAAAAACGCGGGAAGGCCTTCACCCGGCTTCGTGGACTTATCAGACGATTCCATCATGGGTGCCAGATGCTGATTTTTGTGCAAGCATTTCTGTTAAAAATTGGGCCCTCCAAAACGGCGGCGGTCCTTTTGGTTTCCCTGTAACATCACCAAAAGGGGCACTGTACCTCGCAACAAATGCGGCGCCGACCTTGAAATTGCGGGTGCAAGCTGCCACTCCTGGCTTGGCCCCGCCAGATCCAGCATGAACACAGCATGAGTTTGCTGTGGACACTGCCGACAAGTCATATGGCCGTGGTTGTCAAAACCAATGGGATCCCATTTTGGGGTAGGTGAATTCACCACCCATTTTAGTTTTTTTAGTGGTTGGATTGGGATGTTCACTGGGGGCTAGCCGGGCTTTTGACCCATGGCCATATGGCTAGATTCCTTTGAATGGGGAAACACCTCGAAATGGCCGGTGGACATAAAACCCCATGTCCACCAAAGGGTCCCACATTAAAATTCGCTCCCGTATCACGCTAAGATGAAGGCCCTTGTGCCAGAGAAGCTGAGCTGAATGAGTCCATTAAGTGGCGGATACGGATACGGGAGTTCGTCTTCGGTATGGCCAAGAGACTTCTTTGTTGAGAAACCATGTCCTGCCGCGTTTTGCTTTTCGTCCAGCAACTATCTTTTGAACGCTCACCGAACCCCCATTTGGAGGCAGCAGCTTCTGGCGAAGTCCATAGCTATTGGGGCTGATGATTGTTGGCAGGGCCTGCCTTAGACTCTCTAAAGTTGCCAACTGGCAGCTACTGGTTGGGTCAAGGCCAAGTGAAACGTGGTCCACGGAGCAAACCATGTCTCCTCGTTGAATTGATGTAACATGGCCGCTTGATGGTTCGCAAACACAACACACCTTTCAAGCTTGCCCCTTCTTCATTGACATGAGTAATGACGCAATATAACACAACTATAGACTATACTTATACATATATATATATATGTATACACATGTATGTATATATCTATGTATATATCTATGTATACATCTATGTATATACTTCTTTGGGGACATCGGACGTGAGCTTCTCCCGCAGATCCTTGGCTAGTGCCCCCCGTTTCGCTCCGAGAGGCCCTGCAGATTTTTCAGCGCCGGCGCCGGCGCCTGGTGAAGGCGCGCCAGTCGTTTCCGGCTTCGCTGTCCATTGGGAAGCCGATGTCTCCTAGGTTGAGACAAGAAAAGCGGTTGATTTCCGGATGTCTGAGTTGCCCCCAAGTAATCACCAGGTGGATGAAAACATCCGAATCCGACCTGTTTAGAAGAAGATCCCGGGACTTTTGAGGAGTTGCGGCCCCCCCCCCCCCCCCCCCCCCCCGCCCACCTAACCCCCCAATTTTCCACCAGATTCATCCGAAAATCCGAATCTGACTGTTTTGGGGCGCTGCATTTGCTGACAAATCTCACGGCGAGGACAGCGAGCTGCCTGCCACGGCCGTGGGCGCCGTGGGGGGCTGCGCGCTGGGCAGCACTGGGGGTGGAGCTGCCTGGCTGAACCGGCGATTTGGGCTGCGAAGGGCCCAGGGGAAACGAGAGAAAACGAGAGCCCCAGGAAGGTGCTTGCAAAAGACTAGGCAGGCAGGCAGGTAGGTAGGGCAGACATGAGTTTTAGATGTATATCATTGGATAGGTATGGCATACATACATAGTGCACACACACACACACATACATGCATATATACATGTATATGTATATGTATATGTATATATATATATATATATTATGCACATGTATACGTGCAATCGGAAGATGGGAACTGCAACGCAGGCGCTGGGCATGTTGGCGGGCAGCTACTTCGGCGCCTTCTGCGGGCTGGTCCCTGCGCTCGTGACCTTCGGCCCGGGCCTTGGATCCTTCGCTGCGAACTCGTGTCGCGTCCGCCGGACGTCCAGAACAGGGCCTCCAAGAGGGTTTCCAAGCCAAAAGTGGCGCTGGTCCTACCCAATCTCCATCCTCTTGATTTCCCTCAACCATGGTCTGGTTGTTTGAACAAGTTTTGCCCAGCCCTCACCTAAGTCCCCAAGTATATTCGAGCCAGCTGTGCTAGCCGCTTTCGTACAAGCACTCTAAGTGCCCTGCATCCTTGAGGGGCAGGGAGGAACAGGGAAGTGATGGGACCAGATCGACCGATCGACCAGTTGAAACCAGATAAATTTAGGGAAGCGTTTGGATGGCGAAATTCCAAGCCATTTTGGTTTAGTCATCCCCGATACTTACTTACAAGGGGTTACTTCAGCCAGTCGCCAACGGCAGATGGGGGCAAAACCAGGCGGAGTTGTGTCGGTGAGGCATGTTGTCAGGAGCTGACACTTGGTGGGCCGGTGGGCGTGCGAGGGTGCGGGCGGGCCTGCGTGCGTGGTGTGTGTGTGTGTGCGGAGTGACAGAATACCCTGTCACCACAGGGAAAAGCGGGGGGACCAGGCGTCTTGCTGCTGACCTGGTCTAACAAAGCTAGGCAGCAAGACGGGATACCGGAGTTGGCCACTCCGGCGTACCTGCATTTCCGTGATGCCGTGATTCTGAAAGTCCTTTTGGCCCCCTTGGTTGCGGCGCTGTTTGTGCTTCTTGTTCTTTCGGGTAACGTGTTCGCTGCTAGAGGGAAGCCGAGTGCATCGCGAGCAGAACCCAGTCGAGACTCATCAGTTGTACTCGAGACTCATCAGTTGTACTCGAAAGATTAGCACCCTCCATCTGGAGTTTAAGTGTGTACACCCCATTCATGGGGAATCCTCGAGTGTACCCATTGTGTGACCCCGGGCCGGTTTTGTCGGAAAATTTGACCTCAACGTACTTATCATAGATCAGCGGAATTTCACATTTAACCGGAACGAGGTTTCACTAAAGGGAAGACAGCCGTCAGATCATAGAGACGTCTCACCATTGCTGCTGATGGCTGCTGACTTGAACTTGCATTGACTTGCATTTTGTCGGATTCGTTTCTCTCAAGATTGAGGTGTTGCGGTTGTGAGTGTGTTGCGCCACCATGTCTCGACGTGATGATCGTGACAGATCCAGGACTCGGCGCAGACGTGATCGGAGTCCTTCTCAAGCTCGTAAAGCACGCCGACGTGAACACAATGACAACCAGGTCTCGGAGGGCATGGATTGGAACAACCTGGTATCCTGGCAACACAATTCCGGCTACAACTCCGGCAACAATTTTCCGGTGATGCCGAGCAATTATCAATCGATTCCAAACCCCACGCAGCAGTTCCATCATTCACCGGTCAACTACATGATGCCGGTTCCTCCAGAGCCCACGCCAGCGAAGTTCATGACCGTGATGCCACCACCGGTCACTCCCTCGCAAGCTACACCATCACCTGGATACCCTGCAGCCCTGCCAGTTCGACCTCAGAAAGCCTGGCTTACACCATCGGTTGACTGGACACCTGGAGATGGCATGCTAGACATCAACCAGCTCTACAACTTCAGCCTGCCCATGACGGTCGCCAACACCCCGCACAACAACCTACGTGACATGTCCGGCATGGACATTCGTGACGTTCGCCTGGTTCAGGTCATTCACGGGGGCATCACCAACTGGCTACTCCGACCGTTTGCTCACGGCAGATTCGTGACGTGGGAAGGCTTTCGCACTCGCACCGAGGCCTTACTTTGGAGTACCTGTTCCAAACTACTACGACGATCACAGTCGATCACCCTGCGTACCTTGGAAAAGGACCTTGCCAGCTCACTGGGGCTCAACCTGGACGACTCAATCAGCGGATCAAGGTTCACGACCATTTGGCCAACTTGGTACTTCAGTTTCTTCAGCAACACCACGCAACTCTCACGCCCTCTACCCAAACGGATGACATGGTCAAGAAGTTCAATGATCTAAATCGTGCTCATGAGTTGCTCCAGGCTCAGTATTCAGCATCGTTACGCGCTTCGACTTCCCCCACGGTGCCAAACCATAAGGATGATGCAGAGTTGGTTACACCACCACCGGTCAACCACACACAATCTTCGTCACCTCCCAGCTCCCTCCCTACGGTCAGCGCAGCGGCCCTTGATGGCAAGTCGTATGATGGCGCGGTGCAACCCCGGATCATTCAGTCTCTTCACGGACTTTCTTCACCGCCTTCCAAGCCGGCGGCGTCACAATTGCTCACCATGCACAGCACGCCGGATGACGTCATCAAGTACTACACGTGGACTAGTGATCAGCCACGCTTGTATCTCAAGCAATCGCCCACAACCACCACTTTGGCGTCATTGATCAAATGGGCCAATCACCCGTCCCGTCTCAACGGCAACAAGTCCTTGGATTCCATGGCGATGCAACTCCTTCAGGCGCACGCATGCCAAAAGGAGACGCACCCACGTTTGCGGCGATGGCGGCTCTGTGGGGGCTGGAGCCTGGCTACCTCACCAAGCTCACTGACAAGGCGCTGTGTCACCTCATCGTGACCGCCCGCTTACTCAGTGGGTGAGCTGTTCCCTTCGTTCACTTATGAGCCCGGAGCGGCAGCTGTGTCACGATTGAGGAAAGGTTCAAAACTCGTCCGTCCTCTTCTTGCTTTGCACTTGTTTGATGATGCGCTTGTCTGTGCTTGTGTTGTCATTTGCTTGGTATTAATTGCCGCTTGCATTCATGTCGCCGCCACACTGTAGATTTCATTGGTTGCATGTTCACCATGTTGGCTGAGCTTCGCCGCTGTGGAATCTATGATGATGTTGCGCAATGGCATTCCTTAGACACCTTTCTGCACTCGTTGACAATGTTCTCTACGTGCTGGCAATACTGCTTTCCTGGACTTCCACCACCGTCGGTACCAATGGATGAATATGAGTCAGTTGTACAACTACCTTGGTTGGGCCTTATTCTGGAAGTACTAGTAGTGGTCCGGATTGCACTTCAGATTCCGATTCATGCCATGTCACAGTCTTACCACACTGTGGCCAACAGGTATGAACTTCACAGGTGCCGGTGCACAGCCTATTTGTTGATCAGTTTCTTGCAGCGTCTCATTTCTCAGGATTATGGATATGTCCCGCCGTTCTTCGAGGTTCTTCACTTCTACAAGACGTCTCTGTTGTGTGAAATTATGCATTCCACCTTTGCAGACACAAGACATCTTCGCTCATTACGGACACGTTTCCCGGACCTCTATGACTTCATTCACGATCCAGGTCATCATCAACAACCATGCGTCTACATCCGACTTTCTCCATGGCACACTCCATACTACGTTGGTGCAACTGATCAGGATGTTCTACGACGAGAACACTCACGCAGTCGCAAATTTCTACAACAATTTGGGGGACGTCATGCCTTCTTCGAACCTGCACTTCACTACTGGAAGCGCACCAACACTTACTGGCTTTTCTGTGCCATTCCGGTTGAGATCAAACTTCCCATTTCCTCGGTTTGGGTCCAGGAAAGCAAGTGGCAATACTTGCTGCGTCCGCATTTGAATGCACCCTGGGTACATAGACTTCTTCGAAAGGTGGGCTTCCGGGAGCATCTAGTTGACTTTCGACGTCATTCGTTGTCATCTCCCACCTCACTCGGGCTACACAAACGTTTTCGACGACGACTACATCCAGATCTACAACGGCAATTACGACCTGAAATGTTGGATGACATTCAAGCGCATTACTCCACTCTTTATCAGCTGGGATCCAACACAGGCGCGTCGTTCCAGGCCATGCGAGACTTACTGTTGGCGGCTTTTCCTCCCACTCAGCTTTACTACTTCCTGCGACTCTCCGTCTTCGTCAACGAGCCCTTTCGTTCAAAGGCACAGAAGCTCCTCGCCCAGGTGATGCGCAAACGACAGCTCCAATTACCAAACACTTTGACACAACTACTTCTACCGCCTCTACATGTACGGAATTGGAAAGCTCAGCTTGGCACGTGGTTACAACGTTGGGTCGCTTCACATCGTGACTTGTTCCCCTCCCTATTTCTTCCAAAGATCCGGGTGGTGGAAACTCGCAGTGCCACTTTGGGAGACAGGATCTACAACTACCGCACATGGCAACGCAGATGGACTCCTACATATCTTTTCCGTGTCGCTGTTCGGACATTGATGATCACCACCTACACCGTGCACATGAACATGCAGTAATGGTAGATGAGTTCTCACGCATCAATGCGGACATCGACATGGACATCATGGCCGCGTCCATGAAGGATCAGTATTTCGGCGATGTTGACTTGCTGCACCAGCGTTTTACCACACAGCTTCGCAAACTAGCTCGTCGGTGGCATGTACATGGCTCCAGTCTTCTTACTGATCTACGGCCTGTTTTGACTCAGATGATTGATACCCATCGATCCAACCTTCAAGATCGTGCTTATTGGACATCCACATCACTACAACGCACCGTGGCTTCTCTGTCCTCGTGGGTTGTAATTCCAGCGGACCATTTTCCCTCTCGTGCACATGTGATTTGTCCTTCGTTGTTTGCCATACTGATGCACAAGACCTTTTGCTCGGGAGAAGTCTTTTCGCTGTGTCGGGAATCTGCAGCATCCTTTCGCTCCGAAGTGGTCACTACGATACCTTCCCTCCTACATCAGCGCTACGCGTGGGGACTTCGACTTCAAGCACCGTTGCCTACAGCTCGCATCCTTCCAAAGCCGACCAAGGACTGGCAGAAAGCAAGACCCATCATTTCTTTCTTTCGCACGTGGGCAGCACCCTTCCTCACGGTCTTCGGCGCCCTCATTTTTGAACTTACCAAAGTTACCTTTCCTGACATACCAGGTCAGCTTTCGGTCCAAGAACTTGTCCAACAGCTCTGGGACGCGCTGTCAAAGGCAGATCCCGCCGAATACATCCACCTGGTGTCTCAGGACCTGTCCGGTTTCTTCACGTCCAT